TAATCTGTGAATGCATTTGTCCATTTTAATAGAGAGTTAATTCTTCTGTGGAAGCAAATAGTCATTTGAAGGATCATCTGTCACCGAGCGCAGCAGCAGCAGCAGCAGCAGCAGCAGCAGCAGCATCCCAGCCTGCAGAGCAGGTGTGTCGTGTTGGTATTCTGGTATTATTGCATGATCATGTCTCCAGTCAAAGGAAAATGATATGCAGATTACTTTGTAAACACTACATTATCCTACTCGAGGAGAGTGAAAATTCTTCTTCATATGTGTGTGGCATGTTAATTCTTAGAGTGTGTATTTAGTTCTGTGTCTGACAAGGCCTTGCAAACAGCTCACAGACATCTCTAGAGCCACAGGTTTTTGTTGGTGCACTTTTATCTCTCTAATGACAGAGTGTAGATAACTGTGGCCCTGAATGTTGATGGCCTGAGGCAGAAGAATAGCTTCCTCATTGCTTTCTCAGCCAGCCTACTTTGGCTCATTACTGGCCTCATTTCCTTTCTTTTTAAGGCCTAATGTTTTTGTCAAGCAAGCAAGTTTTGAGTACTCAGTACACAGCCATGTCTGGTCTAACAGAAAGGAAAGAAGGTCCAAGAAAGAAGTGAAAGCATTTGAGGAAAATACAAACCTCTTTTGTGGTTGTTCAGGCTAATCTTCCTCTGGGGGATTTGCTTTTAATGTTTAGGAGACTGTCTGCCTGGCCTTAGGAACTTTGGAATAGAAGGTGCAAGTTACATTCTTTTAGTCTTCTAAATCTTGTAAAAAGATGCTTGCTGCTGTAATTGCTCCAAACAAGTAATAGGCAGAGTATAAAGGAGTCAGAAGGAAGCAGGAGTGAAGTTTCAATAGCCCAGTGGCCTTGGGAGCAAGAAGACTGTAGGTCAAGATTGTTCGAACTAATGTAAGTACTAAGCGGGATTTTAGCTGTGTTGTTATTTTGTGTTGGAGTTCCATGTGAGGCCAGGCTGCTAAGAATGGAACTAAGCCTTCATTGGTCATTATGGTCTCACGTGTGTGATAGCTTGATGTATTTTGTGCATCATGGCCACTAAAAGCCCCTTTTAGACTCCCAAAAAGTGATGGGCTAGCATCTAACCTAGGAAAGCAACTCCATAAAGCATTTCAATATGAATGGAAAGTGAAATGGATTACTAATACTAACAGTAAAATAGACATATATAAATATTATGAATAAAACAGCCTTTTTATGTGCAAATTACTTCGTCGGCCTTAAACCATCTTTAATACAATTATTTGAAAGATAAAACTCCTCTCGTTTAGAATTCTGGGCTGTTGGAAACATTCTCATTGCAAGTTTTCCAGGCTATACATCAATAATCAGTGTTAAAAATAATCAAACAGGTAACTAATGACTGCTGAGAGAGGGAGAATTAGTCTTTCTCAGGGATGAGCTTCCTGATTGATTATCCAAGACAAAATGGTCAGCCCTGAAATCATGTACACACAAGCAGCACTAAGTGTCTTCAGCAGGTTGTGTCTATATAGGGTGTGTGTGTGTGTGTGTGTGTGTGTGTGTGTGTGTGTGTGTGTAACAATAATAAAGAAATAGAGGCTAATACTTAGAGAGAGAGTAATGGGGGACATGGAAGGTATTGGATGGAGAAAAAGGGGAAATTATGTAATTATATTTTAATTAAAATATTTTTTAAAAACAAAGAGTTTGAGGTCAGCCTGCTCTACAGAGTGAGTTCAAGAACAGCCAGTACCGCACAGAGAAACCCTGTCTCAAAAAAAAAAACAAAAGAAAAGGAAGAAGACGAGCCCAGAGAGGCTGAATAAACTTGTCCAAAATTGAAGGGCAGAATCAGGCCTTACTCCTAGGAATGTCTCATTCTTTACCTAGAAGATATTTAAAATATACATATATATATATATATATATATATATATATATATATATATATATTTCAAATTATAGACCTATATTAGGATCAAGAAAAATAGTTGGGTATAGTAACAGGAGCCTTTAATCCTAGCACATGGGAGGTAGAGGCAGGAGGATCTCTGTGAGTTTGAGGCTGGTCTGGTCTACAAAGTGAGTTCCAGGCTATGTAGAGACCCTATCTCAAAAAGAAAGAGAGAGAGAGAGAGAGAGAGAGAGAGAGAGAGAGAGAG